GGTGCTGAGCCTGAGGGTGTGGAGCCTGGGGGAGCTAAGTCTGAGGGTGCGGAGTCTCGGGGTGCTGAGCCAAGGGGTACTGCTTCTTCTGGAGGTCCTGCGGGTGCTTCGCCACGACTGTCTCCCCGGCCTGAGCCTCTCTAACCGCAGCAGCTGCGCGAGTGGTTTGCTCAGCGCACTTGCCTTCGGAGTGGAGCTGCCAGAGCTGGAGACACTGGAGCTGGAGGTGCTGGAGTTAATGCAGGAGCTGGTGGTACCGGAGGTGCTGCAGCTGCTGGTCCTGGAGGTGCTCGTACCAAGGGTACTGGAGCTGCCGGGACTGGTGGTGTTGGGTGAGCTGGGGCTGGAGACCCTACGGAGCCTGGAGCTGCTGGGGCTAGAGGAGCTGGAGCTGTTGGCGCTGGAGCTGGAGGCACTGGCGCAGGAGGCGCTGGAGCTGGAGGAGCTGGAGCTGTTGACCCTGGAGCTGGAGGTGCTGGAGCTGTTGACCCTGGAGCTGGAGGTGCTGGAGCCTCTGTGCAGCCTCCCCACAGCCTGCTCCTTCTCCTTACACTGAGCAGACCGGCGGTCTTACAGAGCGTCGTGAGCCTGCGTCTCGTCCTACTTGCCCTGTTCGCACCGGTCGTCGGGTTCCTCGTCCGCGTCCTCCTCCTGTCCCTGGCACACACGCTATGGCACTTCGTCCTTCCTCTGTTCCACTGCGTATTCCTATGCCGCTTCCTCCTGAGTCCTCACTTCCAGCCGTCCCTGACCCTGAGTCTGACCGCACTCGTGCTGCTAGTCCCACTGTCTCTCGTCTTCTCACCACTGTTGTCACTGACCCTTCTTTTGAGTCCACTACTGCGTCTGCCCTCGTTGCTGAGCTTGTTGACTTTGCTCCGACCTGTCGTCTAGACTACGTCACTGCTCTTGTTGCTGAGTCTGAGTCTTCCAGTCCTCTGTCCGTCGGGGGTGAGTGTGCTCATTGCATGGACGTCCTTGAGGACAGGCAGGAGGACCTTGAGTATCTTGCAGCTGCTGTACCTCGTTTCACTTCCATGCTGCTTGCCCCTGAGGGAGACCTGGATGCACCAGACATCCTGACCCCACGCTCCTACGTAGAGGCGATTACGGGTCCCTACTCCTCTCAGTGGCAGACAGCCATGGATGCAGAGATGGCATCCTGGAAGTCCAGAAGCACTTACGTTGATGAGGTTCCCCCACCTGGGGCGAACATAGTCGATGGCATGTGGATTTTCAGGGTGAAGCGGCCGCCGAGTTCTCCGCCTGCCTTCAAGGCGCGTTACGTTTCTCGAGGCTTCGGTCAGCGACAAGGGGTCGACTACTTCCAGACCTTCTCCCCCACCCCGAAGATGACTACTGTTCGGGTGTTGCTGCACGTTGCTGCTCAACGTGACTACGAGTTACACTCTCTGGACTTTAGTACAGCTTTCTTGCAGGGCAGCCTGCACGAGGAGATCTGGCTGTGCTGCCCACCTGGCTTCACTGGGTCGTTTCCTGCAGGTACCCAGTGGAGCCTCCGGCGGCCAGTCTACGGTCTCCGCAAGGCGCCTCGCGAGTGGCATGACACACTGAGCACTACACTTGCGGCTTTGGGGTTTACTCCTTCTACTGCTGACTCGTCACTGTTTCTACGCACCGACACGTCGCTGCCACCGTTCTACATCCTCGTGTATGTCGACGACCCCATCTTTGCCACTGCTGACACTTAGGCACTGACCCTTGTGAAGTCGGAGCTGCAGAAGAGACACACCTGCACTGACCTGGGTGAAGTGCGCAGCTATCTTGGCTTGCAGATCACCCGGGACACAGCACGGCGCACCATCACACTGACTCAGTCACACATGGTGCACCAGGTCCTTCAGCGCTTTGCCTTCCAGTTCTCCTCGCCACAGCCCACTCCTCTGTCTACCGGCCACTCGCTCTTAGCTTCACCTTCGGACGAGTCTGTAGAGCCGAGTGGTCTGTACCCAGAGCTTGTGGGTTGTCTCATGTACCTGATGACGTGCACACGACCTGACCTCGCGTACCCTCTTAGCCTCCTGGCTCGCTATGTTGCTCCCGGCAGGCACCGAAAAATGCACTGGGATGCTGCGAAGAGGGTACTGTGTTTCTTGTGCAGTACGTCGGGCATGGGGCTTGTGCTTGGAGGACGGGGTCCAGTTGTCCTCACTGGTCACGCTTCTTGGGTTAACGACTCAGCTACGCAGCGGTCATCACAGGGTTACACCTTCAGCCTCGGTTCCGGCTCTGTTTTATGGCGGTTTACCCACTCGTCTTCGGTTCTCAGCTCCAGTTGTGAGGCTGAGATCTACGCAGGGGCCATGGCTGCACAGGAGCTACGCTGGCTCACCTACCTGCTGACTGACTTGCGAGAGTAGCCTCGTTCGCCTCCAATTCTGTACGTAGACAACAAGGCCATGATTGCCTTGTGTCAGGAGCACAGATTGGAGCACAGAACGAAGCACATCGCTCTGCGATACTTCCTTGCTCGAGAGTTGCAGCAGCGTGGCCAGCTTCGTCTTGCGTACGTGGCCACTAGGGCCAACACTGCTGATATATTCACCAAGGCACTTCCGCCTGGTGATCATCAACGCTTCTCTATTGTGTTAGGCCTTGTGCCTACTTTGCCTCACTTGCTCACTGCATGACTTTGCTTGTACTGTGATCTATATATATACCTACATGCTTACACTTGCTAGGGTATGATCACTGTATTGTTTGTTCTCTTTTATATAACTCTGCATGTGAACTGGCCTTGTGGCCCTTTGCTTGTGCTCGGACTGTGTGGTGACTTTGTGATCCACCCTGAGCTTGCTTTGCTTTTCTTGACTGGTCTTGTGACCACTTGTTCTCCCCCACTTTGCCTATGGGGGTGTGTCTGAATGTTATAGTGCTTACAGTTGTGTAGGCTATAGTGGGGTAGCCCATAAGGGGTACAACCCAATCAGGGTTAGTAGTTGTACCCAACTCTTTCATAGTTCAATCATTCTTGTTCGTTAGTTTGACATCGCCTTGCTTACATGGCCTCACAGGCCAACACTGCTGGTAACGGATGCGTTATGGTAACATGTGCGTTATGGTAACGGGTGCGTTATGCTAGCGGGTGCGTTATGGTAACATATGCGTTATGGTAACATGTGCGTTATGGTAATGGGTCCGTTATAGGATAGTGCAAACTTGCCTTTTCTGCACATTTTATGATCAAAGTTCCCTCCTCCATCCCCCCCCCACTAACTCATACCTATCCATATTGTTCCCCACTCCCATCCTCCCTTACTCCCCCTCCTTTTAACCATCTACAAGTCCTTTATCATTTATGCTGTGAGCAGCTTCCTTTGGTTATACCATTTTTACACCAAGTTCTGTATCTTATGTATCAAATCATCAGCCAACAATCTTATCAGCATTTCATGCAAGTCGCATCTCCTCTTTATCCCTTCTGTACTTCATGCTTTTTATCAGCACATGTGCTTTCAATTATCTCATGCCAATTTCATCATCTTACAATGATTTCATGACCTTTTATCAATTTCCTCAGTGCGGGATGCTTTCAGCGCATCGTAAGTCAACTTCATTGGTGCTCGATGGTTTCAAAACCACTTCTCCAATACCTCGTCGTCAAGCTCGAACAAGCTGATGCCAGGTGATCATTCCGCTCATGGCGCTTTCATACTTCATGCTCATCTCATCGGTTCATGGGCACATCATTCCCATCCGCCCATTATTAAGTGCCTGGAACGTATGCGTTGCTCCCATTTTCCATGTAGGCTTTAGGCATTGAAGCCCACGAGGATGGTCCATGTGTGCGACTTTATGCATGTGCACTTGCGCAATGCAACACAGCTAGCCACCAAGAATCAGAATGCACCGCGCCTCTGCTCTCTCATGCTCCTCTCCTGCCCCTCATACAACTCTGAGATGCCTCAAGAGTCACAATGCACTGACGTCCTCCTCCCTCTCCTCCACCGCAGTATCCACCTCCACCTGCTCCTCATCCTCCTCTCCCTCATACACAGTTGTCAACACCCCCTCTCCCCTCTTCCCCCCTTACCTCATCTTTCCCATCACCACCACTACCATCCACCCATTCTCCTTTCTCCCGTCTCCCTCCCCATCCCCTTCGTCTGTGTCCCCTTCCTCTTCCACTGCTCGCTGGTGACCACGACCTCTTCCAGACCAGAGGAGGGAGTTCAGGAGAAGACATGCAGACGTGGAGGTGAAGGGAGGGGAGGGAGGGGAGGAAAGCAGAGGCAGCAGGGAACGGGCGGCAGTTGATGAAGAGGATGGGCTGTCACACAGTGAGGTGGATGCTGGGGCAGCTGGAAGGTGGGGAGATGGGCGAAACGTGGATGAGAGGACACGAGCACATGGAGACTAGGGAGCAGGGAGAAAATCGGGAGATGGGAGAAAAGCAGGGAGATGGGCTGAAACGCGGGAGTAGGGAGCAGGAGCGAAAAGGGAGGAAGGTGGAGGGGCCGATGGCGGGGGAGTGGGGAAGGAGCAGAAGCAGCAGGTTGAGGGGCAGGAGGGCATAGCAAGTGGTGAATTGCTCGGCTCCTCCACTCCCATTCAGCCTAACTAATCAACACTTTTGACTCTCTTTTCTCCGCATGATTCGGCATCCTCAGGCCAACGGAAAGTGACAAGTCTGACCAATCAGACAACTCTAAGATGAGTCTGAGACTCTGAGGCCCTACCTGACAGGTAGGGTACTACGGTAGTACCAAGCTCACTGGTTTTCAACCAGACTTGTTTATGGTGGTACCGGTATTTGAAAATATACTGGTTTATAAATTTTATATACTGGGCATGTCTACAGATACTGGTAGATGCAATCAGGATTTGCTTCACGTCCAGTCCAAGCTTTCATTGTGTCAGATACCCAAACGAGAGGTGCGAAACCAGTTGACTTCTCATCCAACCCAACCCAACTCGAGCTGCGTGCCAAGAGATTTCTACCATTAGTTACCTAGTACCTACCTACCTAGTATCCCCCTTCACCCCTGCCCAAGCCTCCCAAACCTGATCCTCTCTTCAGCCCGCAACACATCCGTATCGATCTCCCTGGACCAATCAGGGAGCTCCCTGTGCCCCAGGAAGTGCACCATAGCCCCGATGATGCGCGGATCTCGGAAGTACGCCCCGTGGTTGAGGTCAAAGCGGCCGGTGAGCTCGCCAAAGCGCTCCTCGATCATCACACACAGCTGCTTCACCTGCACGCGGGGGGAGGGGAAGGAGGGGGGGGAAGACGAGGAGACACGGATGGGGTCAGCGAGGGGAGAATGGTGTATCACTCACAGGGCTCCTTTGAGCTCTAAATTTTGAACCAAACCAATTTTGAACCGCCTTTTGAGGCATTGAGGAAAAAATGGAGGCTAGAGAGAGGGGAGTGAGTGACCTTAGTGCTTACAGAATGTTCACACCAGAAATGTAAAACCCGATTGCCAGTGAGTCTATGAAAGATAGGCGTCACCCAGGAGGATGAACGGCGTGGCAGCTCCCCACACCACACCACACCACACCACACCACACCACCCACCCTTCATCGGAACCAATGGCTTGTTGAAAGCGGTTGTGTATGACTGAGCCTCGTATTTTTTTCGTGCCCTTTCATGCGCCAGAACACACTTATGCCATGGCGTGCAGCTGGGGCGCGCGCCAGAACACACTTATGCCATGGCGTGCAGCTGGGGCGCGCGCCAGAACACACTTATGCCATGGCGTGCAGCTGGGGCACGCGCCAGAACACACTTATGCCATGGTGTGCAGCTGGGGCGCGCGCCAGAACACACTTATGCCATGGCGTGCAGCTGGGGCGCGCGCCAGAACACACTTATGCCATGGCGTGCAGCTGGGGCGCGCGCCAGAACACACTTATGCCATGGCGTGCAGCTGGGGCGCGCGCCAGAACACACTTATGCCATGGCGTGCAGCTGGGGCGCGCGCCAGAACACACTTATGCCATGGCGTGCAGCTGGGGCGCGCGCCAGAACACACTTATGCCATGACGTGCAGCTGGGGCGCGCGCCAGAACACACTTATGCCATGGCGTGCAGCCGCGCGCCAGAACACACTTATGCCATGGCGTGCAGCTGGGGCGCGCGCCAGAACACACTTATGCCATGGCGTGCAGCTGGGGGCGCAGCAGCATGCATGGGCGCTGCTGCCTCACCTTTTCTGTCTACCGCCTCACCTGTCTGTCTGCTGCCTCACCTGGCGCACGCACTCCTGGTCGGACAGCCGCGGGTTGTGGGTGATGGCGTGCAGCTGCGGGCGCAGCAGCGTGTACGTCTCTGACTCGCGTGCCGCTGCCTCCAACACACCATCGTCCCACAGGAACTCGTATGCCAGCCGCTCCCCCTTGCCGCCACTGCCAAGCATGGACCCCATCCCCTTCTCCTCCATTCCCTGCTGCTGCTTCCCTTTGCTCTCTTCATTTTCTCTTTCCACGGAAGCCCCACCCGAAAGTGTTCGTGATGAACCGCCCGCTCCCGCCTTCCATGCCAAACTGCCACCTCCCTCGAAGCTGACCCCTTTTCCTGCTCGCTTTTCCTTGCTGTCAACCCCTTCCACACCTCCCTCCTCATCCAACTCCTCACCGCCCTCCCCTCGCCTCTCTCCCTGTCGCAGAGACCGCTCGGTGAATGTCACGCGCCTTCGGAAGCGGCTGAGGCTTCGTCTTGCGCTTCCTGTTTCGCTGCGCCCACCTCCCTCCTCTCCTGCTTCGTCCCCCAAAAGGGTACCCGAGGGCCCTGCTCGCGAGTCAAGAGGCTCTGGTCTTAATGCGCCTGTCTGTATCGAGTCTATCACCGCACTCCCTTCACCCTCTGCACCCTCTGCACCCTCTGCACCCTCTGCACCCGCTCGTTCATCAGCTTCTCCTTGCCTCCTCGCCCTCACCTCCCTCTCTCCAACCTCCTCCTGCTCCTTTCCCTCCTCCACCTTCCCCTCCCTCCCAGTTAACCCCTCCGCAGTTACCCCTTTCACGGGTAACCCTACCCCGGTTACGACCTCTCGAGGCACCCCCTCTCGAGGCACCCCCTCCTCAGGTAGCCCGTCCCCAAATAGCGCCTCCCCCATGTCACACGTGTCGTCCTCATAGCCCTCCATCAGCTCGCCCTGCAGCGACCTCGTCTTGGCCAGCGCCAGCAGTTTCTGACAAGGCGCGGAGAGTAGGGGAGAGAAGGGGAGGCAGGAGCAAGCAAGAGGATTTTTTTTTCATTCCCCTAAACAAGCAAGGAGGAAGGGAGAAGGCGATTTGAAGTATTCCAATTCTGGTGTATTGCTACACCTGCTGCAGCAGTAGTGATGTATTCCAATTATGTCGCTGTGGTGCGCATGATGCCATGTGAGCCCATGATGCCATGTGAGCGCATGATGCCATGTGAGCACATGATGCCATGTGAGCACATGATGCCATGTGAGCACATGATGCCATGTGAGCACATGATGCCATGTGAGCACATGATGCCATGTGAGCACATGATGCCATGTGAGCGCACCTGCCCATTCCAGTGTTCAATGTGCTGCGATCCCAGCCCCAGCCCCAGCCCCAGGTACAGGAAACAGGTACAGGCACTCGTCCACAAACACACTCGACTCCAGTCGACTGAAAGCGCACCTGCACGTTCCAGTGCTCGATGTGCTGCGAAACGAGCCCCAGGTGGAGGCGCTCGTCCACAAACACACTGGCGAAGCTCAGCTCCTTGGGGGACAGCCCGAAGCTCACCGTCACGATCACGTTGCGCACCATGGAGATTATCACCGGCGCCAGCACGCGCGACAGCAGTGCTACCGCCAATGCGGGCAGGATGAAGATTATGTTCCACATGAGAATCCGGGCTGTGTTGCTGATGTAAAGTGTCCATTCGGAGCATTTTCTCGTGACCGGGCGGCGGGGGAGGGCTTTCCAGAAGGGGAGTTTGAGCATGGAGGCTAGTTGCGGGAAGATGTAGGCTCGGGCGATAGGCTCGGTGGAGAGCGCCAGGCTGGCTTCGTCTAATTTGCCGGCGTGGATGACGAGTGCTGACATGGCATGCGACCAATCGAAGCCGGGCGAGTGGTAGATGTTGCCACTGTAAAAGGCAGTGCTGCGCCAGAGCTGGTGTAAGGGGGTGCGAGCGATGAGCGGGGGACAGAGAAGGATGAGGGGAGAGAGAGAAGGGGAGAAGAGACGGGTTGAAGCGAGCAAGAAAGAAGGCGAAAGAGGGTGCGGCGAAAGTGAAGTGTAATGGGTTGTGTGGGTGTGGAGAGCGGTGCAGGAGAGGCGAGTGGATTAGAGAAGACGGAGACGAAGGAGATGGAGAGGGGGAGGAAGAGGAGACTTTCGAGGCCGGCAGTACCTTTAGTGTGGTTTTCAGTTGAAGAGCGCGGGCATACAATGACATCATTGAAGAGCGCGGGCATACAATGACAATTGCCCTTACTGAAGGAACACCTTGGACTGGCGTAGAAATCATGCTTTGGAGAATCGCCTCCTATGTATCCACACCCCCAACACACACCCATAAAATTGCTCTGCTATAGTATCACACGCACCTCCAGTGCCACACTGACGATGGCGAAGACGAGAACAGCCGCGGCCAGGGAGAAGGGCAGGTAGCTGGGAGTGGTGGTTCTGGTGCCATACGAGGGGGGCATGGCATGGTGGCGAGGGGGGAGAGAAGGGTGGAAGGGATAAAGACAGGGTTGTGAAGCGAGGAAATGGTTGAAGGGATAAGCAAGGGTTTTAACCCAACCCAACCCAACTTAATCGCTCCTTACGAGTTCACTATCAAACCCCAGCATGTTGAAACTCCCTGCACCCCCACCATGTGCAAGCTCGCCTGCAATGGCAAGGCAAGCACAATCACCCGCCACAGCAGCACGTAGCCCCACATGACCGTGGACGCCACGGCGGTGGTGGCGAGCACAACCAACCACCACGTGCATGTGTGCATCATACCTTGAGAGCTCGCCTGCAATGGCCAGCACCACGATGCGCCACAGCAGCACGTAGCCCCACATCACCACAAACGTCACCACCATAGACACGGTGGTGGTGGCGAGCAGCAGCAGCATGCCGTTGCGCTGCCAGCTCTTCATGTAGAAGGGCGTACCCAGGAACACCAGCCCCCCCAGCGCGTTGGACAGCGGGCTCGTGGCAAGGCGGTGCGCGAGGAAGAGGCGCTGGCGCTGCGAGGGCAGGCGGAGCAGCGAGTCGAGCCAGCGGTAGCGCCCCCACGGGTACTGCTCCTTCACGCTCCCCTCCCTCCTCCCCGCCATGCTGCGTGCGGCCCGAGAGGGGGGGGAGGAAGTGGGGGGTAATTGGCAGAGGGAAAATGAGGGGGGAGAAGCGGGGTGCAGAGCACAACGAAGATTGGTGGGTGTTCTTCCCCTGTTGGCACTGGGAAGGAGTCCGGCCAACGGTAGCTAGCTTGCGCAGAGGTACTGCTCCTTCACCCGCCCTGCCCTCTGCCCCGCCATGCTGCATGTGGGCGGGGAGTGAAGGGGGTGCAGGGTAAGGGGAAAGGGATCGGGAGCGAGAAGGGGCAGGGAACGGGGGGAGAGAGTGTGTTTTTCCCCCTGTGCACCTGCAGCCTCGTTGCCTCGTAAAACTGCACCATGCGGCCTGCATGGACGCGCGGGGGCGTGGGGCATGGGAGAAGGGCGAAGGGGCACACAAGGGGAAAGTTGAGAAAATAAGATAAGAGGAAGGGGAGGCAGGGAGGGAGGAGGGGAAGGGGAGGGGGGGGGAGAGAGGTGAGGGAGGGGAGGGGCGGAGCGGGACTCGAAAGGGCAGGGAGGGTGAGCAGCAGTGTACCTCCTCCAGACAACAAGGAAGGGGAAGAAGCGCCAGCAGGTGTTGGAAACATCCGGCTTCCGCCAGTGGCGAATCAAATCGTATCTGCTCTTGTACGCTGCCCAGAATCGTTGGAGGACAGCAGGCGGGAGGTCTGACACGGCCTTGCTTCCCTGGCGCTTCATGTACTGTGGTGTGTGGCAGGAGGGCAGGGGGCAGGGAGAGGGGACAGGGTCGACAAGAGAGGGGAAAGGGAGAGGAGAGAGGAGGAGGAATTGAGACTAGGAACGAGGGAAGGGGAATTCAGAAGGGCAACGGAAAAGGTGATGCTACGAGAGGAAAATCGAAGGAAGGTGAAGCTTTTTAACCATTTGGTATTTACCCACCCAGCCTTTAAACCACAGGGGCTTTGAGCAGCACTCACGAGCTCAATGGCTTTAAGTAGCACGTTGCCTCCGTGGGAGTGGGCGATGACGTGGATACGCGCTGAGGGGTCGCTGTGTGTTATCAGGTCCAACAGGCGCGCCAGCTGTGGCCGAGAGGGGGAGAGGGGGAGAGGGGGGGGGGAAAGGGAGGAGAGGGCGGGAAGGGGAGGGGGGGGAGGGGGGACGAGAGGGAGTAAGAGGGGTCGAGAGGTCGGGAGACGGGGGGAAGTGGAGGGAAGAGAAGGCGAATGGGGATGGCGTGAATTGGGGGAAGAGTGGGGCAGTAGCGGGGAGAGTGGGGAAATGGGCCATGGGGGGAAAGAGGGGGTAGGAGGAACGAGATGGAAGGAGTGATAGCAACTGTGTGGATTGACGGTAAAAGAGGTTCTCAAGGGGAGAATTGGTGGGAGAATTAGGGAGAGAATCTAACTTCGTGGTGCAGCTAATAGGGCATTGAGAAGTATCGTTTTAGAACAGTGTGCAAAACGATTCTTTCCTGGAGAGATACTCCAATAACCATATTCTGCTATGGGGTGCTTGAGTAACAACCTTGTGCGCGGCGTCGATACGCCCTTCATGCGTGTTCGTGCCATCCCAGTGAAACGGATACGGAATGCGGAGTCGCGCCGGCGGCTCCGCCGGCAGGTCGCGCCACACGCATCCGCCGCCGAGCGGCCCCTCCGCGAGGCGCGCGTCGATCTTGCTGCAGAAGTTGATTTCGCCGGGCGCCGCGGGCTGGTACCACGTGCGCGATCCGTCGTCCGGCGGCGCGTCGAACGTGCCGTGGACGACGATGACGTAATGCGTTTCTTGCGACGCGTCGAACGACACCGTGCGACATCTCGCCGGCGCCTCGGGATCCACATCCTCATTATTAGATTCTCCGGTGAAGGGCTTGCGAAGCTTGCAAAACGGACCGTTACAAGATGCTAAAGAACAACACCCACAAGAGTTATCCAGGTCTGTCGCTTCATCAAGTGGCAAATCATTTGCCGCTCTATTTTCATGACTGGCAGCGCGGCTGTTCTCCATTTACGAGCATTTCTAAAAATAACATCGTCTGGAAAGAAGATGAGGTGATGATGTCCATTGCTTGCTGGGACTTGTTCAGATTTGGTGCTGTCAACCCCAATCGCCACAAATGCGGGTCCGCTCTGCTCTGCAGATTCCACCACCAACTCTGTATTGTATGCGCCAACACTAGTATAGGCTCGAACGCGATCAAGGCCCAGAGATCCTTGACTTCTTTAACTTCTTATCACCAGGTAAAAAATATAAGACCCCAGCAGAACCCACAAAGTCAGAGAAATTTCTCTGATTTGCATGAAAAACTGTTCTTTCATATTTTTGGGTTGCGTAGCAACCTTATACATTCGTTTTCTCTTTTCGGTTGACTGACGTGAATAGTTATTTTCCCCCATCAGTTTTGGAAGAAATCACTGTTTACATCAGTTCCACGAAATGTGAAAACAAATGAATCCAATTATTCCAAAATCGTTGATAAGTACGGTGAATGGAACAATTGGACAAGCACTCAAAGACACACGTACACAAATGACCATACAAGAACTTGCACAAAAACCATAACGGAAAGACATAAGACATATGTTTTGAGGTGAATACTAAATGCATCAATGTTGCAAGGGAGATTGATATGGTTCGGAAGAGGCGAGAAAAGCTTGCCTCACCGACGATCACAAACCCCTATTGCATACACGAGGCATTTAGCACCTTACCCCGAAACAAACACAGACGGATATCTCAAAGTAGGAACACAACAGAATGGTGAACTAGAAACAGGATGGGGTACAAATATGCAAACCTAAAAGTTGTTGGGCTGAGAAAAGTGTGAGAATAATGAGTGGAATGGATGAACTAGAAAAGAGGTGGGGTACAAGTAGCAAACACAGAAGTGTTGTACCCTCTAAGGACTACCCCACTACAGCCTAAACAGACTATAGCATATATAAGTTTGACACACCCCCATAGGCAAAGTGGGGGAGAACAAGGGGTCACAAGACCAGTCAGGAAGGCAAAGCAAGCTCAGGGAGGATCACAAAGTCACTACGCAGTCTGAACACAAGCAAGGGGCCACAAGGCCAGTTCACATACAGAGTTATATATGGGAAAGCAAACAATACAGTGAACACAACCTAGCAAGTGTAAGCATGCAGGTATATGTATAAAGAGTACAATACAGGCAGAGTCAAGAAGAAAGCAAGTGAGGCACAGTAGGTACAAGGCCTAACACAGTACAGAAACGCTGATGATCACAAGGCTGAAGTGCCTTGGTGAAAACATCAGCAGTGTTGGCCTGAGAGGCCACGTAAGCAAGACGAAGCTGGCCACGCTGCTGTAACTCTCGAGCAAGGAAGTAGCGCAGAGCAATGTGCTTCGTTCTATGCTCCAATCTGTGCTCCTGACACAAGGCCAGAATGGCCTTGTTGTCGACGTACAGAACTGGAGGAGAACGAGGCGCCTCTCCCAAGTCGGTCAGCAGGTAGGTGAGCCAGCGTAACTCCTGTGCAGCCATGGCCCCAGCGTAGATCTCAGCCTCACAACTGGAGCTGAGAACCGAAGAAGAACGGGTAGACCGCCAAGAGACAGAACCGGAGCCAAGACTGAAGGTGTAACCCTATGACGACCGCTGCGTAGCCAAGTCGTCAACCTAGGAGGCGTCAGCGTGACCAGTGAGGACAACTCGAGCCCGTCCTCCAAGCACGAGCCCCATGCCCGATGTACTGCACAAGTATCGCAACACCCTCTTCGCAGCATCCCAGTGCACCTTTCGGTGCCTGCCGGGAGCCACGTAGCGAGCCAGAAGGCTGAGAGGGTATGCGAGGTCAGGTCGTGTGCAAGTCATCATGTACATGAGGTAGCCCACAAGCGCTGGATACGGGCCACTCGGCTCTACGGACTCGTCCGAAGGTGGAGCTGAGAGCGAGTGACCGGTAGGCAGAGGAGTGGACTGTGGCGAGGAGTACGTGAAGCCGAAGCGCTGAAGGACCTGCTGCACCATGTGTGACTGAGTCAAGGTAATGGTGCGCTGTGCTCTGTCCCGGGTGATCCGAAAGCCAAGATAGCTTGTCAGCTCACCCAGGTCTGTGCACGTGTGTCTCTTCTGCAGCTCGGACTTCACGTGGGCGAGTGCCTCAGTGTCAGCAGTAGCAAAGACAAGGTCGTCTACGTACACGAGAACGTAGAACGGCGGCAGAGTAGTGTCAGTGCGTAGAAACAGAGAAGGGTCAGAAGTGGAAGGAGCAAAACCAAGAGAAGCAAGAGTCGTCCTGGGTGTGTCGTGCCACTCACGGGGTGCCTGGCGGAGACCGTAGACTGGCCGCCGGAGGCTCCACTGGGTACCAGCAGGAAACGACCCAGTGAAGCCAGGTGGGCGGCGCAGCAAGATCTCCTCGTGGAGGCTGCCCTGTAGGAAGGCTGTGCTGAACTCAAGCGAGTGGAGCTCGTAGTCACGCTGAGCAGCAACGTGCAGCAGTACCCGAAGAGTGGTCATCTTCGGGGTAGGGGAGAAGGTCTGAAATAAGTCAACTCCCTGTCGCTGACTGAAGCCACGAGCAACGTAACGCGCCTTGAAGACAGGCGGAGAACCCGGCGGCCGCTTCACCCTGAAGATCCACATGCCACTGACGATGTTCGCCCCAGGCGGGGGAACCTCGTCGACGTAAGTGCCTGTGGACTTCCAGGAAGCCATCTCGGCGTCCATGGCTGCCTGCCACTGAGAGGAGTAGGGACCCTCTATCGCCTCTGCGTAAGAGCGCGGGGTCGCGATGTCTGGTGCATCCGGGTCTCCCTCAGGGGCAAGCAGCATGGACACGAGATGAGGTACAGAAGCAGCAAAGCACTCAAACTCCTCCTGTCTGTCCTCAAGAACGTCCGTGCCAAGAGCACACTCACCCTCGACGGACGGAGGACAGACAGACACAGACGCAAACTCAGCAACAAGGCAAGTGGCGAAGTCTAGGCGACAGGTAGCAGCAAAGTCAACAAGCTCAGCAACGAGAGCAGACGCAGCAGTGGACTCAAACAAAGGGTCAGTGACAGCAGTGGCCAGAAAGCGCGTGACAGCTGGACAAGCAGCACGGAGGGAGTCAGACGCAGGGTCCGGACCGGCAGGAAGAGAGGACGCAGGAGGAGAGGGCAGAGGGACACGCTGTGGAGCAGTGGAAGGACGCAGAGTCATAGAGTGAGTGCCAGGGAAAGGAGGAGGACGCGGACGCGAAACACGACTAGTGCGAACAGAATGGACAAGCGACGTAGAACGAGACACAGGCGACACAGGACGCGACTCAGGCTCACGACGCTCCGTAAGACCTCTAGTCGGTCCAGAGTAAGGAGAAGGACCAGGCAGCGGAGAGGCCGGCTGTAAGTGCGACTGAGACGGGATAGGTGGTGGACTCAGGGAAGGAGGAGGAGGACCAGGAGAAGGCGAGGAGCCAAGAACCTGCCGAAGAAGCGGAACGTAGTACGGCCGCGGCCGCGCAGCGCCTCTAGAAACAGCAGAGACAGAACCGGTACCCTCAGCCCTAGGGTCTCCAGTCCCAGCAGCACCTCCAGCAGCTCCAGCACCAGCAGCACCTCCAGCACCAGCAGCACCTCCAGCAGCACCTCCAGCACCAGCAGCACCTCCAGCACCAGCAGCACCTCCAGCTCCAGCAGCACCACCAGAAGCACCAGCAGCACCCCCAGCACCATTAGCACCTCCAGCAGCACCAGCACCAGCAGCACCTCCAGAAGCTCCAGCAGCACCTCCAGAAGCTCCAGCAGCACCTCCAGAAGCTCTAGCAGCACCTCCAGAAGCTCCAGCAGCACCTCCACAAGCCCCAGCAGGACCTCCAGTAGCTCCAGCAGTACCCCGACAGCGCCGAGAGTACCATTCACGAAGTTGCTGTGGAGAGAGAGGTTCCCGCCGCGGCGGGACACCGAGAGCACCTCCGGACGCAGCACGCGCAGGCTCAGCACCTCCAGACACAGCACCCTCAGGCTCCACACGCCCAGGCTCAGCACCCCCAGGCTCAGCACCCCCAGACTCAGCACCCCCAGTCTCAGCACCCGCAGGCTCAGCACCCCTAGCAGCACCTGAGTCGACAGCTACCTCGACTGGCTCGGCAGGGTCTACCTGGGACACACCTGAGGGGGCAGGACCCTGGGGGGGGAGGGGGTCTACCGGGGGAGTACCTGGTGCGAGGAAGAGCGGCGGGGGGGGGGGGGGGAGAGGCAGTGCGGTAGGGAAAAAGACGGTAGTACAACACCGACTCGTCAAACGTGACGTCCTGAGAGGACAGAACACGACGCGAGGTGGGGTGGTAGAACTGCCACCCGGGTGCGTCAGGAGGGAAGCCAAGGAAGACACAGGGAACGGCACGGGAGGACAGCTTGTCCACTGTAGTATCGCGGACAAAAGCTCGAGATCCCCAGACACGGAACGCGGACGCATCGCCAACCTTCCCCGTCCACCGCAGAGTAGGTGTGGTCTCCGGCAAGGAGACACGAGGCTGAAGGTTGATCTGATGCGCAGCGTACTGAACCGCGAACGGCCACAGAAAATGGGGAGCAGCCGCATGGATCATGGACGTATGCGCGACGTCCATGACCATGCCAATGCGGCGCTCAGCAATCCCATTTTGCTGTGGAGAGGCCGGAAGCGTGAACGTCTGGCGGATGCCCTCAGAACGACAGAAGGCTCTCAGGAGGTCAGAGGAAAACTCCCCACCTCTGTCTGAGTGCAGACGCAGAACAGGAAGGTCTGAGCCGAAACTCTCACTAAGCTGGCGACGAGCACCGCGGATCCAGTCGATCAACACCTCAGGGACCTCACCCTTGCTGCGCAAGGGGAAGACTGTGGTGTAACGCGAGTAGTCGTCAACGACCAGCAGGAAGTAATGCTCGTGACCCTGTCCACGGACGCGGGCTGGGCCCCACACGTCCATGTGAAGAGTCTGCAGAGGGGCCTCAGTTGGAGGAAACGAGGAGGAGTGAGGAGCGGCGCGCTGCCGGCCCTCGACACAAGGAACACA